TCGGAAGATGCGGCGACGAAGCAGTCCCGAGACCAGAAAGCTCTTCTACTCTCTCTCTCCCTTTCTCTCTCTCACACACAACACAAGTTTTTTTTTCTTTTTTTCTTTTTTTTTTGGTACTGTAAACCTCCACGTCGGCGGATTTGAGGCATTTTATAGCTGTGGGGACTGGGGAAATGATTAGCTCTTTCTTTTACTTTTTTATATTACGGAAGTGCTTGGTTTTACCGTTCTTGTTCGCTTGGAAGTCTCTTCGTGAACCAGCGGGTCTTATATTGGGCCTGGGCTTTATTTTTTTCAGGACCGGTTTACTGTGTCGAACCGGAACCGGATCGGTCGGAATCATCAAAACGCTGCACATGCAAGCAGGCGGTGCCCAAAAGGTTCGTCGGTGAGGTGCGAGGCTGGAACCAAGCGGAGGTAGGGAAGAGGAGAAATGGAGGGGACGATTCCGTTCAAGAGTCTCCATAGCAGGGAATATCAAGGTCACAAGAAGAAGGTTTTCTTTTTACTCTTGTTTACTCGCTTCAGTTTGGGAATTTAACCAGAAAAACCCTAGCGTTCTGCTGTTTATATGATGCCGAATCGCTTATTTTGGGAAATTTTGTGTCGAAGGTGCATTCGGTGGCTTGGAATTGCGCTGGAACGAAGCTCGCTTCGGGTTCGGTCGATCAAACTGCTCGTATTTGGCACATCGAGCCTTACGGTCATGTAATTGTCTTCCAACTCCGTGAATTTCTTCGAGTTCTGAAGAATTTTTTTTTTGTTCTTTTAGAGTTGCATAAGAGTATCTCAGAGCTGGGTTTTTAGTTTGATAGATGGTTTTACTGTAGTTTGTGTGGAGCGTATAGTTAAGCTTCACGAGAAAAAAAGAGGGTAAAGAATATGAGATTTTGACTCGGAGACTGACGAGTCGGAGTGAGTTCTATACATAGCGTTTAAGCAACTTTTGCTTCAAACGAAACAGTTCAGAACGTTTAATTATCCAAAAGGTTAGATATTTAAGGATAATGAGTTTGGAACTGATGGGTATCGTGTTTTCTTGATGCTGTCGTTTGTTTATATTTGCTTGTGTTTGTAATCTGAGTTTTGTTGGCTGTATGGACACAGAGTAAGTTCAAGGACATTGAGCTAAAGGGTCATACTGACAGTGTGGATCAGCTATGTTGGGACCCTAAACATGCCGATCTTGTCGCTACTGCATCTGGGGATAAGAGTGTTCGTCTCTGGGATGCTCGTAGTAAGTTCATGCTCCAATATATTCACTTTTTTTTTTAATCTCAAACACTTTTAGATAATTTGCAAATTATGATATGGCAAATATCGAGTTTACAAGGATATGATTAGTCATGAACTGGTAAAACAAACAAATTATGATAAGGGTAATCGGGTTGTGAATATGTTCTGTTGTCATGTGGTTGGTTACAAAAAGATGAAGAAGTTTCTAAGGCATGTCTTCTCTGAGTTATGCAGGTGGAAAATGCACACAACAAGCCGAACTTAGCGGGGAGAATATCAACATCACCTACAAACCCGACGGCACACACATAGCAGTTGGTAATAGGGTATCTCCTTCCTCGAGTATCGGGATCTGCAACTGAACTGTTTATGCATTGGAATGGTTGGGATTTGTCCGGCCTTGCGGAGTTATCGGGTGATATTATGATTAATGTGCTTACATTTCTTAACCCGTCTATGTAGGATGACGAACTAACAGTTTTGGACGTTCGTAAGTTTAAGCCTCTACACAGGCGCAAGTTCAACTATGAGGTAATGCCAGTTTTAGCAGTTTCGATGCTTCATGCAATATTTCGAAAATGGCAAAGTGCGTTTCTTTTCTGTTCTATATCCAGCTAGTGTGGTGTAGTTTTATTTTTCCCGAGTTACAATAGAGACTTGTTTGTCAATAGTTACTGCATGCTGCATAATCGAAGAAATAGAATATAATGTTCTACCATTGCCCGGTCGAGAAATATATTTTCTCCCGCTTTATGGATCATTCATCTTCTTTGAACAACAGGTAAATGAGATTGCTTGGAACCTGTCAGAAGACCTTTTTTTCTTGACTACCGGACTCGGTGAGGATTTTAAGTTATGTCCTCTTCATGCACATCATTTCCCGACCAAATATATGATATCGATGAAATTATCTTATTGCATAGTTTCTTTCTTACGTTCATCTATTTAGGTACTGTTGAGGTTCTGGCATATCCATCTCTTCATCGTCTCGACACTGTCACAGCTCACACAGCTGGGTGCTATTGCATTGCAATTGACCCGAAAGGAAGGTGTGCTTTATTTTCAATTTTTCGACAAATTTCTTGCAAGTGCTTGGACTAATTGCTTACATCCACTGTTTTTTTCCGAGACATACTTGAGAAAGTTACGACTGGATGAAAAGATAATCTTCCAATTCGTCTTCACCTTCACAGGTATTTTGCTGTCGGGAGTGCGGATTCTTTGGTCAGCCTCTGGGATATCTCGGACATGCTTTGTCTGAGAACATTCACCAAACTTGAGTGAGTCCCCATCTTTAATGAAAAAAAAATGTTTCGTTTTTTAATTTCTGTCGAGAAAAGAACGAGTTTACAATGTACTGCACCCACAGGTGGCCCGTGAGGACGATAAGCTTCAACTACACAGGAGATTACATCGCTTCTGCAAGTGAGGATTTGTTCATCGATATAGTATGTTTTTTTTTTCGGAATCTGTTACCCTCTTCTGCTTATATTTCTTCGTGGAGTTTTAACTGATGCTCACGTCTACCCATTAACCGTCATTGCCAATGCAGTCTAACGTCCAGACCGGGCGGACGGTCCATCAGATTCCATGCCGAGCTGCCATTAACAGCGTGGAGTGGAACCCTAAACACGATTTACTCGCGTACGCAGGTGACGATAAGAATCCAAAATATAATAGCGATGAAGGTACCGCAACTCTCAATCTCCTTCCATTGTTAAGTCATATCACTAATCACAAGCTCGCCGTCAATGGTCTTTCCCGGCATGAATGGTTTATTTACAAGCTCTTCGATCTTCTTCTTGCAGGTGTTTTCCGAGTATTTGGTTTTGAAAGCTCGTAACAAGGAGGTTTCCGGGGATGAAGTTGTGATTTCGGGATGACAACATCACCCAAAAACTCGATCCGATCCGAAAAGCATTTAAAAAAATTTGGGTATCTTGATATTTTCGGCCGGATTCGGGTAATAATGTTTTCCAATTTCAGTTTTTTGTTATAACATTTTGCTCTATTTATATTTTGTCATTGTAGATGAAAAAAAGTTTAAATGGTAGATGGAAAAGAAAAAAAAAGAGAGCTTTATTTACATTTTCAGTTTTCAGATCACCAACCAACCACACACATAAATATTTTATTTTATTTTTCTAACAACCTCGTATAATTCCCCAAGGAACAACCTCATCATGATCATATATATATATATAATCATAGAAGCTAGTTCCAAGATCTCCGGAGAAAATCAGACCATATGATTGATGAGATCATCAGCCTGTAAATCCCACAAGACACTGTCCACGTTGAACACATTGTTCCTCATCATCATCATCTGATCTTCCTCCATCTTCGGCCCCGCTCCTCCGCCGTGGCTCCTCCACGTCCCCGCCGGAGAAACCGGCTCCTCGTTCACGAACGACGACGACGATCCGTACGAGAACCCATTCGTCGAAACTCTCCCGAAATCGCCAGATCCATCATCCCACAGCTTCATCCCCGGATCTAAAGCGTCTACCTTTACCTTACCCTCCATGCCCATCTCGTTGTTCTCGACGACGTTAACCTTAGCTGACGCAACATTATGGCTAGGGTTAGGGTTAGTGTCAGGGTTTGAGAAGTTGATGAGGTTGAGATCTACGCGTTTCTTGGTGAGCAGGTGAAGCATTTCGTCCTTGAAGCAGCCGAGGGCGGCTTCAGCCAGGTGAGATACCTGAGGAGGGTTCAAAGTGGTTGTGATCTCCGCCATTAGATGAGAGAATGGTTTGTGGGTCACCGGATCGATCCCCATTCCCGACAGCTTCTTCTTCAGTTTCGTGTTCCAGTAGTTCTTCACGTCATTGTCCGTCCTTCCGGGAAGCTGCGCTGCGATCAGCGACCACCTGTCGGAAAGGAAAAAAAACAGCAAAGAACAACGTTTCGTTACATTGCTTGTTTCGCAAGGAACTATGATGTTTTCGAGAATCTTTTGCTGATTCTTCTGCAAGAAACCAGAGGAGAATTTGAAGTATCTAACCCCAACCCGCCATTGGTGTTGAAGATTTGAACCGTATATCAAAAGTTCAAAACTTAATTTAACCCTCAATTATTCACTCCATGTATATAATCTTTCAGATGTTTCCTTTACTTCATTCGCAAGTTATATACCCGCAATTCTACATATACTATATATATATACTGCAATCTCGGTTATATGTATAGATAATAGAATATACGTGTAGACATACCTGTTTCCGAGAACGGAGTGGTACTTGACGATGGTATGCTCTTCTGCTTCCGAAAACTGGCCGTGTTTCAGATCCGGACGCAGATAATTCGTCCAGCGCAGCCTGCAACTCTTCCCGCATCTCTGGAGACCTGTTTTACACCAAAAAAAGGATCAAGGGAACGCATTATATATACGAGTGCATGTACATATATATGTATGTATATATTAATAGAATTGGAAGGTGATATAAACTTGTACCGGCGTTCTTGGGGATGAGACGCCAGTTACGAGTGCCGTGTTGGGCGATGTAAGAAGCCAGCTTGTTGTCTTCCTCCGGAGTCCATTGCCCTCTCTTCACATTCTCCTTCTCACAGCATGGAATCCGACCCATCTCCCTCTCTGTCTCTCTCTCTCTTTTATTCGCCTCCTCGACGATTAATTAAAACCCGAAATCTTCAAAAAATAATCCTTTCTTTCTTTTATAAATGGATGGAGATCAAAGAAAACGGCCTACTTGTTAACCTTTTCTCTTTTTTTGTGGTGTGGTGGTGCCTTTGAGGGGAAGAAGGAAGAAAGTGTGTGTATATGTGTATATATAAATAATGTTAAACAAGTGGAGAATGTAAATGGATGAGAAAATGGGTGTTTGTTATATAAGCAAAATAAGTGAGCATATAATATAAATAAATAAAATAAAAATAAATATTGCATGAAGGGGGAGGCATCAAAGGTGCATGAGCTGATTAAAGAATTCAACGCTGCTGAGCGTGTGAGTGATCGGCCGGTAGGTCACCCACTCGACGCCTGGTCAACCCCCCTTCCATATTGCTTCTCTCCTCTTTTTTTTTTTTTTTTTACGTAAATTGTGTTGAATTTTGGAGAATTCAAGTGGACCTAGGATATTTTCTCTTGTATGCTTTTGAAAAAAAATGGAGTATATTGGTACTTATACAATTTATACATTCCAAATCAAATTAAACCGGTTTAAACCGATCTTTACCTCTTTCCATACCATAACGGGTCTTTCTGCCACTGCTATATATATATGTGGGGCAAACGCATAATAATACACAAATTTGTATATAAAAAATCAAATAAATACATGAGGGGTTTTCATAAAATCATGTATAAATATGCGATATATATATATATATATGCATGTGTGTATAAAAATGAGAATTTTCTTAAAAAGTTAAACTGGGGTATAGTTTTGTCTTTTTATTTTCAATTGCAAAGTGTTTTCAAGGTCGCACCCTCGGTGCAAGGCATTACCGTTTTTGTCAGATGCGTATTTGGTAAACCATACTCAAAAGAGAACAAAGTATCCAATTGTGATATATATTTGAAGTCTTTTGTGTGAAGAACAAAATACTTTTGGATCTCGGACTCTGAATTAATACGCCTTGATGGGGTCGACAATTCTAATTTCCATCATATTTATATGTTCTGTATCCACTCAATTTTATATATATATATATATATATATATTTGATTATTTTGGTTTTATAGATAAAGAATACCAAATCGGCGTTTAGAAAATCACAATTTTATGCTATTCAATCCCATTAATCCAGCTATTTTTTTTTTTTTTTTGATAAGCTAATCCAGCTATTGTTTAACGTTAAAGCTTTCAAAATAAATATATTCTGACGAATCAGATAATGGTTATAATTGAACTGAACCAAAATAATAACCTATCAACAAGAGTTGGCAACGAGCATATTTAATATATATTTTCCACGTGTGTGTCATGGATTCGTACACGTGGCAATTGGGTTTCCACAGTATATTAAAAAAAAACCTACCAACAAAGCCGGTCCAATTCTCCCCTACCGCATTTATAAGCAAAAGAAAAGACTAATTAGACTCCTAATAAACCGTTTAAACAAACCCATGAAATCGCACGTGCCTAAACCAAAACAAAGTAGAATAAACATGGATAAAGACTGACGTCATTAATTGCCATCCCAACACAAGCAAGTTCGGAAAAGAACCATCCATCCATATATTATATTTCTATATGTATTGGTAAAGTATTATATTTTCGATATTGAATTAGTATTTGTTATTACCGCTAATTATCAAGATTACAAGATGACAACGCATCGATCACCGATTCCGTGACAGACTTGCGGAACACGAAAGTAGACGCCTCTCCGACAGGGAAAGTGGAGCTACAGTTCCAACCGCTTCCTTTCCTGTTAAGGTAACCTGGGTAGTCCCACCTGCAAAACGGAACCTTCTTAACGAGGCAGAGGCTCTCTTCTTCAGCCAAAGCCTCTATATCCCACTTGTTAAAGGGATACGCTGTCTTGTGAGTCACGTGAACTTCTCCGTCTTCCTTCATAATCTCTCTTGCATTCTTGAAAAACCCTCTCACCAGACCCTGGTGCTGCCTGATCCAAAGCCGCCAAATTAACCAGTAAGTGACTAATAACTATACATATATACTAACATATATATGTGTATATATATATAGATCGGATCACATTAACATATACAAAAGGACTTAATTACATAATGGAAAAACTGTCATGCTCATGCCAGATGACGTCAAACCCTGCATGAGGAAAGTTATAGATGATTCTGTCATGGAGTTTCGGGCGTAGATTGACATCGTGGCTCATGAAATGCACATCAATTCCATGCATGATCGTACACCCTAGGGCCTTCAACTCTTCGATGTTCGCCTTTGCTTCAGTACCGTAGTTACTCTCTAGCTCCTCTACAAACATTGGAAGGCATACATCAAGCGGATCACATTTATAGAAAGATTAGACAAATGAATGAGCTTATAATATCACATAAGTTACGTTTTGAAAAAGCATAAAACCATAAGGTATCTGATACTATTTTCGTCTACGATGAAAAAAAAAATGCGAGTTTTACCGAAAGAATCGAGGGAGGTGGCAGTGATATTGGCAGCAGAGCCAAAGGCTCTGGCCAAAGACACAGAGAAGGAGAAGTCCCCTTCTCCGACAAGCAGAATCTTCTGCTTGCTGCTGTAGTGCTGTAACCATTTCTCTGTTTCCTCTTCCATCGATCGAATCTTCTTTTACATCTTCATAGTTCCATTCTCTGCATGCTCCAAGGAGATAGTGAATACACACATTTATATACATATGCATGCATGCATGCATGGGTCAAAGACGTGGCTTAAATGTTTAGTTCATCTTCTCTTTTAAGTTTTGGCTCCTCGGATTTTGTGGCTTACGCACATCGAAGAGCATTCAAACCATTTCGTTATCCTTTCATTAGTCTCCATGTATATCCACTTATTTTAAATCGAGAAATGATGACTCGTTTGGCTGAATGATGGTTGTGTGGTGGGTAAATACAACATAACACCTTTACTATTCCTTGAAAGGATATACTATATGCTAATACAAACAGATAAATTTAATTATTCAAAACATATTTATTTTGTTTTGGTTAAGCAGGTGTCTTGGTCGAGGTCCATACTAATTTCAGGGTCGGAAGCAAGCTATGTGATTGGAATTATATTCTTTTTCCGGATATGAGATTCGAATTCGGGATGGGACAGATGTTTTGCATTCCTATTACACCGGTTGAGTTATCCAAGTTGGATCAAAATATATTAAACTAAACTAACCAATGGCCACATATATATACAACCCTCAACTAATGAGTCGAGGCTTCGGTCTTGTCTTTTTATTTCAATTGCAAAGTGTCCTGAGGTCGAAGCATGTATGCGTATTTGGTAAACCATAAGTACGGTTTCAAATCGGAAACGTACGGAGAGTGCTCTTGGAAGAGAATGACGTGTTACGGTACTCTATTTATATGTGTAGGCATATCCATACAGTTTTTATATCGTTCTTTTTTTTTTCTTCTCTAATTGAGTTTGGTCATGTAAAGAAAATCAAGCCAAATAATTTCTTAGAAAATATAATTTCCACTTACCAAAATTAAAATCCAACCATTGCTTAATTTTACCACTTGAAAATTTAGATATTCTGAAAATGGTTAGCCACATAACAATATATAATTGCGATAAAATAAACAAGTTCTGAAAAGAAACGCTCATATATTAAATTCAGATATCGGGTATAATATATATAATATAAAAGTACGTAGGGAATTATTATAATCGTTAATCGCTAAGATTAAAAGATGACAGTGCATCGGCCACCGATTCCCCAACAGACTTGCGGAACATGAAAGTAGAAGAGGTTCCGACAGGGAAAGTGGAGTTACACTTGCTACCACTACCTCTCTTGTTAACGTAACCCGGGTAGTCCCATTTGTAAAACGGAACCTTCTTAACAAGACAGAGACTCTCTTCTTCAGCCAAATCCTCTATATCCCACCTGCTAAACGGATCTGTCGTCTTGTGAGTTATGTGAACTTCTCCGTCCACGTCAATCATCCTCCTCGCGTTCTCAAGGAACCCTCTCACCAAACCCTGGTGTTTCCTGATTCAAACCACCACACTAGTAATTACGCGAATCACTATATATATATATATATATGTATCAATGGATGGATCACAAACATAAATAAATGGACTTACTTAATAGTAGAACTATCATATTCTTTACCAATGATGTCAAACCCTGCATGGGGAAAGTTAAAGATGATTCTGTCGAAGCGTTTTGAACACAGATTGACATGTCGGCTCATGATACGCACGTTAACACCATGCATGACCGTACAGCCTAGGCCCTTCAACTCTTCTATGTTCGTCAATGCTTCAGTACCGTAGTCTCGCTCTAATTTCCCTGCGATCACCGCGCGCAATATGGCATGCATGCAACAAGACGAATGACGGCATTAGACAAACTGAAAAGCATAAAAAAAACAAACATATGATTTACGTTATATTGGCTGCAGATCCTACCACGACTGTCGAGGGAGGTGGCCGTGACATTGGCAGCAGAGCCAAAGGCTCTGGCCAGAGACAGGGAGAAGGAGAAGTTCCCTTCTCCGACAAGCAGTATCTTCTGCTTGCTACTGTAGTGCTCTATCCATTTCTCCGTTCCCTCTCCCATCTCTCGAACCCTCTCTTACGTCTTCATGCTTTCGCTCTCTGCATATATTCCGATTAATTCCTACTGTTGTGCACAGATGAACTCACACAGTTATATACACACATACATGCACATGCATTATGCATATGGGTCGAAGCTAGCTGTCGCTTAAATGTTCAGTTCTTCTTTAATTACTTAGTCAAGTAATTTGGCTCCTCGGGCGATGCGTTGTGGTTTAATTGTGCACGTCGAAGAGCATTCAAACCATTCGTAATCCGTTCATTAATCTCCATACACCCACTCCTTTTTTTTTTTAACTCGTTTGATTTAAGGAAGGTTGTGGGTAAATAAATAAGTGGAGCAGAACATATGTTTCCTATAAGAGATCTTTAGTGTTCCTTGAATGTGAATTCATAGCTACAATGACATGAACGAACCTAGTAAATACATTTAGATTACCAAATACCAATATTACACCGAATACAAATATATAGTGTCCCTAAACGAACATGATTTCTCGTTGATAAAATCACACAGCAATGTTAATTGGTTAAGATTCTTTTTTTTTTCTTGTTTGTTGTCTGCCAAACAATGTATTCTGATTGATGCACCCATTAGAAAAGTGGAGAATATAGATATAGGGGTGAGAAAGAAAGGAATAGGTAGACCTAGACTTATTTGGGAGTGAGGGTCATTAGAAACGATTTAGAAATGTTGAACATTCCGAATGAATTAATCCGAGATCGAAATGAGTGGAGAAGAAGGATTCATGCGACCGATCCCAAATAAATTTGGGAATGAGGCCATGTTGTTATTGTTTGCCAAAATACGAGGGGTTTAATCCTTCTAGAATTTTATACCCATCTTACGGATATCCGATTTTAGGGTATTCGTAATTTTCAAATCCAAATCCAAATCCCGATTTTTCAATATCCGTGAATCCGAATCCAAATCCGGGTAATAGAATTTTTAAAACCGGATACCCACGGATACCCGACTATTATGATTATAAATAATTATATCTTATATTTATATAATATTTTTTTATAAAATATAATTATTTTACATTAAATAATATCATATTTTTAATATTAATTCAAAAAAATTAAATTTATTATTATTTATCTCTTATTATATGATAAGTCTTATATATTTTATCATAATTCATCAAGTTTTATAAATATATCTTCATTTTTTGAAAATTTTATATATGAATATTGTTGTTTTTCTTAAATAAATCCGGATCCGGATATCCGCGAATATCCGACCATTATTCCGGATACCCGTATCCCGGATACTCGTAAATATCAAACCCCGAATACAAATCTTATAGTTAAATATCCGAACCTTCTGGATCTAAATCTAAATTTCTCGATTTTTTCGGGTATCCGATCCGTGCAGCCCCACCCTATTATCACGTCACCAAAACACAAAAATAAGGCGCATGTTGTTAAAGAAAAATCATATTTTTTTATAGGATGAGTCTAACATAACGGATACAATTAATCGTACCTTAAACCGTAAAAGATTAATTTTGGATGCAAAATTTCCTTCTTCGGGTATACTAATATGCCAGTTATAATTAATTTTGTCATGGTTTATTTGATTTTATCGTTTTTTTTATTTTATTTATTTTATTTATTTTGTATTTTGATATAGTCGTTGTAAAGATCTATTCTCTTGGCACGTGGTCTTGGCACGTGGTTAGTGGTTCCATTATTATCGTTTTTGGTAGACATGTGTTGATGTATTTAAAAAGAATTTCAGATGAAATAAAATTTGTAGCTTTCATGGTGAAACTCCTCTCTTACGTTTTTTTTTTCAGCAAAAATATGAAAACAAAAATCTTCTGTTTATTATCATTTTTCTAAATTTAGTTTCTACATATATAATATACTTACTAATACAGCAAAAAGAGTTTTCCCGCTGCCATTATTGTAGAAAAGTCATATTTTACACGTTGGATATAACTTAGTATTGGATATAAATTTATAATTAACTGTATCTTAAACTGTACATAGCTAAGGCGTCACATTAGAATTGAGTATGGACCGTATGCACGGATAATTTTTTTATAAAAAAAGCAGTCAATCGTTATTTATCAAGAGTACTAACCAAGAAAGCAAAAGAAAAGGGCAAAGACATATATTATAATCGTTATATGTTACTAATAAGGATTGGCAATGATAATAATTAGCCGATTAATTGACTAGACTTTGCGGAACATGAAAGTGGATGCATTCCCGACATGGAAAGTGGAGTCGGAGTTCATGGTACATCCTCTCATGTTAACGTAACCTGGATAATAAGACACGAAAAAAGGAACCTCCTTCACGAGACAGAGATTCACTTCTCGACCCAGTGTCTCTACCCCCCACATGTTGTAAGGATGCGTTGTCTTGTGAGTCACGTGGATTTCTCCGTCTTCCTTCACCATCTCTCCTGCGTTCTTGAGAAATCCTCTCACCAAGACCTGGTTGTCCCTGCTCCATGCATCCGTATGTGACAAAAATCTCGGAATTAATTTCCTTCCATTTTCCATCCGATTATATAGACGGAAAGAGCTTAAAAATCCACAAATGGTCACGACGGCGCGTATACGTAGGGCTTACGTAATCATAAAACCTTCGAGTGCGCGGCATATGACGTTAGCCCCTGCATGGGGGAAGTTGAAGACGATCCTGTCGTAGCGTTTGGAACGTAGATCGATGTGTTGGCTCATGGCATGCACATCAACTCCATGCATGATGGTGCATCCCAGGGCCTTCAGTGCTTCTACGTTCGCCACTGCCTCAGTACCGTATTTTTTACGCAGTTCCTCTACCATTAAACACCGCAAATGCATTAATCAAGAGGATGAACAGATTAAAAACGTAAATTAAAGCATAGATTATTAGTATCGGATATCACTTTAGTTCGAGAAATATATATATATATAAGTGAATCTACCATGAGTGTCGAGGGAGGTGGCTGTCATATTGGCGGCTGAACCAAAGGCTCTGGCCAAAGACAGGGAGAAGGAGAAGTTTCCTTCACCAACAAGCAGTATTTGCTGCTTGCTACTGTAGTGATTTAGCCATCTCTCTGTTCCATCTTCCATCTTCAAAACCTTCCCAGCATCTGCAGGCTTTCACTCTCTGCATATCCTACGAATGTTGGGTGTGTGTATATATACACACACATACAAAAGCACGTATTTAGACGCATACATGTACATTCATGGGTCATAGATGCTGCTCAGATGTTTAGTTCATCTTCTTTAAGTTTGGCACCTCGGGCGTTGCGCGTGGTTCATGCACGTTGAAGGGCATTCAAACCATTCATAATCCGTTCCTTAATCTCCATATGTATCCACTCCTTTTGATGGAGAAAACGATGACTTGTTTGGCTGAATTCAGGTTAGAGCGGGACATATATTTCCTCTGATTTTAATTGTAGCATATTAAGAGATATATCTTCACTATTCCTTGGAGATGTGGATCCATAGCTACAAAGTAATCTCTCCGCATGGATTCTTGCCTTGTAAAATTTTACACCAAGGATATAATTTGCTAATCCAAAGACAGAAACTTTCGTAATTCAAAACAAAGAAGACCAAAGTGACATGAATCGCCATATATATCCACATACATGTGAACCCTTCATCGTTACAAACGTCCAATTCTCATCCGTAGGGATCGCGCGAAACCGAGTCATGTATGCTAGGTGGCTAAAGCAGTAAACTTTGCTAAACCCGTAAGAGGAACGAATACGAAGCTGATGAATCAAGGATCAAAGAAGCTGACCTGCTTCTCTTCCTCTGCAAGGCCCTCAATCTTCAGATGGAGTCTTGGCCACGATAGATAATGCCTGTAATCCGCTCTGCAATTCATCCTGCAACATGTCATATATCAGCCTACGCCTCTTAACCAAGCTTTTCCCTTGGAAATTATCCGAAACAATTCTCAAGTTGAAATGCATTTCCCCATCTCCATTACCACCCCTAACACCAGCATGCCCTGCGTGCTGATACGATACATCTTCCACTTCTAATTCAACAGGATTGAGCTCCCTCTCCAGTTTCTCTCTTATCCTCATCCCTCTACTTCCCAAAGCACCAGAATTCGACTCGTTTTCTGAGTTTTGGAGCATATCCCTCCCCGAATCTTCATTCCCACTGGCTCTAGACCCAGAACCCGAATCAGAAACACTTGTTGTATCGTTATCCGCTTCATGAGTAGACCCTTTGTTCTCCTCGGCTTCGACAGCTAATTGAAGAATGCCCTTCCGCATAATAAGGAACCCATTCCTCATCCCTCTACTTCCCAAAGCACCAGAACTCGACTCGTTTTCTGAGTTTTGGAGCATATCCCTTCCCAAGGCATCGTTTTCATCGGCTCTAGACCCAGAACCCGAATCAGGAACACTTGTTTTATCATTATCCGCTTCATGGGTAGATCCTTTGTTCTCCTCGGCTTCGACCGCTAATTGAAGAATGCCCTTCCGCATAATAAGGAACCCATTCCTCATCCCTCTACTTCCCAAAGCACCAGAATTCGACTCGTTTTCCGAGTTTTGGAGCATATCCCTCCCCAAGGCATCGTTTTCATCGGCTCTAGACCCAGAACCCGAACCAGGAACACTTGTTTTATCATTATCCGCTTCATGAGTAGACCCTTTGTTCTCCTCGGCTTCGACCGCTAATTGAAGAATGCCCTTCCGCATAATAAGGTACCCATTCCTCATCCCTCTACTTCCCAAAGCACCAGAATTCGACTCGTTTTCCGAGTTTTGGAGCATATCCCTTCCCAAGGCATCGTTTTCATCGGCTCTAGACCCAGAACCCGAATCAGAAACACTTGTTGTATCGTTATCCGCTTCATGGGTAAATCCTTTGTTCTCCTCGGCTTCGACTGCTAATTGAAGTGCCTTCTTTTGCATCAGCTTCAGCATATTAAGGAACCCATTGTTCCTAGAAGGAGTGAGACTCTGCTGGAATCCGAGAAGAACCGCGAAATCCGGTGTGACCCGCAAGATCTCCGGCACGGGTCTTCCGGACAATCCCTGAACTAGAAGAGCTGCTAGCCCTTTTGTCAGAACCGAATCGGAATCGGCTTCGAACACGACGTTGCGTTCTTCGTCGAAAAAAGCCCTAACCCATACCTGAGAAACGCATCCCTGCACTTTGTTTTCTCTCGTTTTAAACTGGGCATCGAGCGGTTTCAGATTCTTACCGTAGAACAGAAGCTGCTCGTACTTGGCCTTCGGCTCCTGTACCGATCGAAACAGATTGACGATCTCTTGGAGCTCCGGAGGAAGCTCCTTGATCGGTTGAAGCTCCACAGAGCTTGACGGCAACGATGAAGCGGAAAGAGGCGGTGATATTCCCGTCGGTATCTTCTGGAAAGTGATGATGGTCCGACGAAAGGAAGGAAATTCCGGCGGCTTTAGCGGCGACAAGATCAGGGTTTTCGTTGCATGAAGAGAAAACAAGGTTCTCTTGTACGAAACTAAAAGAAGAGATGAGACAAAGCAAGAAGAAGAGATGGATCCCATTTTCGAAGGGAAGATTTCAGAGAGACGGCGATAAAATAATGACAATGACGACGATACCTCATATCATATTTGGCATCCGAAACGCACCGTTTCATCACCTCGGTGCGTAAACCGGTAGATTACCCGGTTAACTCGGGTCGAGTCCTGTTAATTAACAAATTAAGCCCCAAATGGTTGATTCTGAACCTTTTAAAAGTACATGATTCTTTTCGTAAATAAAGAAAATGTCAGCAGTCAAGACTATCATTGGCGGTAGAAGCAATCTCCCATTGCTTTATCAAAGGTTTGATAATCCTCCTCCTCGGGAGCTTCGGGAAGTGGGTCCCATCGAGGAGTTTAAACCACACGCGCCGCCGGAGATAGAGCCGGAAAATGTGTTTGAAATTAGAGCTTGAGTTTTTCCATATTAACACAAACTATAATATTAATAACAAGATGAGGTTGTTCTTGAAAGCCAAACCAAGGCGAATGGGTTTTGTGATTGATTAGGCAAACCAGATGTTCTAACAAAAGAGACAGAAGCAGATTCTCTAACAGGCGGTATCTGAAGGCAGAATTCTCATACCAAAGCTGAGGCAGACATCCTCTGTTGATAAAGAACCTGTAAGAAATTGCAGTAACATCATCAACACCTCCTCGATAAGCCTTTTTTTTCTTTCTCTGAGATCTTTATACATCGGGGAAATACGTTTTTCCGGATTGTGGAAGCAAGATCATCGCCCGAAAACTCTTAGTACGGAGGACGTGAGAGCGGAACTAAGGAACTTCATTCCGGATGATCCACCCGGGAAGTAGGAAATACAGTAGTAAGCCAGCGCAAGAACCTGCTCACAATTGAAATGAGCTGAATGAGCGTAGTTTTTTCAAAGCAAGAACTATGTATGAACATTTCAAATGGTGGATAAGGACAGTTCGACCCATTGGAGGGACGTGAAATGCAAGTGAAGGTGAAATCTTTGTACCTGCAACACGGAGAAGAGAACCGAGAGGATGTAGCTATGGAGCACCATTGATACGTATATGGTACCGACCATTGTTCCAATGAAGCCTAAGGTTAAAGGAAGTCTCTGGAGAAAACACAACAGACGATAGAATTAGAAGACAGAGAAGATAAGAGTATGTACAAGATTAAGGTATGGATATATGTATATATACCTCTCTGGATGACATATGCGCAAGCTGATTTTGTGGGCCACGGAGAGCGAAGAACGATCCAATGATAAATCCGCATCCGAGGGTGAAACATATGGCAAATTTCTGAGGCATGATCACCATGACCGGAAGGAACATTGTAAAAGCGAGGAAAATGAAGAATACACCGGTTGCAAGAAACAGACCAAAGTACATCAGAGCTTTTCCTGAAGGCATACTGCTGGTCGCCGACTGCAGGTTCCCGGGTAGATCTCTAACTCCTTTGGAAACCCTGAAACCATTTATATTCAGATACAAGCTGCAAAATCATACACAGAGATGGCATACTCCAGAAAAAAAAAAGGAAGACTCTGCAAATTTTGAACTGATCATATTCCTATTCAACCATAAGATGGACAGATGAACATGTTCACGCATAGATGGATGATTACATCAAGGTCTCCATACAATTAGACAAGCACCCATATAAGGGCACATACAGTTCATCAAGGCAGTACATCGCATTACATACATCAAACTTACAATGTCCATCAAAATCCATAATAGACACTTTGTTATGATTCATATCATCGCAAGGAAATCTATCAACCTAAGGTCCAAGGAGATCTAAAAATCTGAACTTTGCTCGCAGACTCCAATCCCCCAGTATACTCCTACAACTCTATACGAATATTCTCGACAAGGGAATTCCTTTTCATATAAGACTCATAACCATATATACCAAAATGGCGTTTGAGGCCGAACAGATACGCAATTATCATCAATAAATCTACCAAAGTAGCCCTTCTCCACCATAAATAAGCTAAATCACAGTTGCCCAGGTTCGGATTCTTAGTCTACTTCACTAATTCACTGACGCACAATTCCCACTAAAACCAAGAGTTTCATAATCACCAGATAAACCCCAACAGCAGCAGAATTCATCAAAAAGACCCCAATTTGAAAAGAGATCCGCCGCTTACACACTGAAGGTGCCGGAAACAGTATCGTTGGCAGATCTAACGGCGGATTCGATATCAAATCCGAAGCTTCCGCCGCTTCCAGCCTCCGCATCTTGTGAAGCAGCGTAAGAATTCCAATCTGCGAGGAGAGATGTCCCCGTTTGCTCCTTATTCTGCGGCTGATCTCCGCTGCTATTTCCGCTCATCGAAAACCACCCTTGCATCTTTCGGCTTCTAAATTTTCCAGGGAAACAAACGGTCAAAAAGCTCAGGAACTAAGGTTTCGGAGACGAACCCAGCAGAAGAAAGGATTTGGAGAGATCGAGCAATTACGTTGATGACTAAAACGGCACCGTTTACTCGTCGTTTTTTTTTTAATATGTTTGAAGGAGACGGAGGGAGATTCTCTGCGAAGCGTTCTACCGTGCAACCCCTAAATGTGGGCCCCATATATTGAATGAGGATGAGATTGCACGCACTCAGCGCGTGAAAATTTTCATTTCCAATATCATAGAAGGATCTAGAAACCCTAGGTGCCGGTATAAAGTATTCATTTTCTGCTTTGTCAGCCATTCTCGCTCTGCTTTGCAAGAAAAGAATCGTTCTGCATTCCCGTCTCATAGGTTAAGCCCCAGAGATCGTCGTGGTTCGGAGATGGCGGACACAGAGACGTTTGCCTTCCAGGCGGAGATCAACCAGTTGCTCAGTCTTATCATCAATACCTTTTACAGCAACAAAGAGATCTTTCTCCGTGAGCTCATCAGTAACTCATCCGATGTTCGTATTCTGCCCAGCCCTCATTCTCTATAGCGCGTGTCTTGTTTGATTTATCTTGTGTATGGACCTGTTGATGAGTTCGACTGTTGCATTTGCTGTTATTGTGAGGAAATCTTGCTCGTTAGGCTTACTTTTTTTTTATGGTTGGATAGGTTTTTTGTTGGTAATCAAGTAGGCTACGTAATACGTATCATATGTTGCCACGTTTGCCTCCGTAGTGTGAATTAGAGATCATGATAAAGTAGGTTTAGATCGAATTTCGATTCAGAGTTTCGGGTGGTCTCCGTGGAAATGAATTTGTGTCGTTTGTTCACATTCATTATGTCGAGCTACACGAGAATCTTGTATTGTGGATTTAGTTTTATGACGTTGATGGAACTTGATTTTGGGAGAGTACCACAGAATCGTGGCATGAAGCTTTTTTTTTTTTGGTGTTTGCTCTGAGGTTTGGTAATCATGATTTGAATCCTTTCTAAACGGTGGTTGTTACTTAGAATTGCTATTCATTTCTGATCAACAGGCTCTGGACAAGATTAGATTCGAGTCTTTGACTGACAAGAGCAAGCTCGATGCTCAGCCAGAGCTCTTCATTCACATCATCCCCGACAAAGCCAACAACACCTTGTCTATTATTGACAGTGGTATCGGAATGACCAAAGCTGGTAAGTTTTCATGTCAGAGCGCGTGAAAATGTTTTAGCGTTCTGCATGCTTATGGGCATTTGTTAAACAGGCTGTTGATGTTTTACGGATGATGTTGTACAGACTTGGTCAACAATCTCGGTACCATTGCCAGGTCTGGTACCAAGGAATTCATGGAAGCGTTGGCTGCGGGTGCTGATGTGAGCATGATCGGGCAATTCGGTGTTGGTTTCTACTCGGCTTACTTGGTTGCTGAGAAGGTCATAGTCACGACAAAGCACAACGACGATGAACAATATGTGTGGGAATCTCAAGCCGGTGGGTCATTCACCGTGACCCGAGACACCTCCGGTGAGAACCTCGGTAGGGGTACGAAGATAACTCTCCACCTCAAGGAAGACCAGCTTGAGTACCTCGAGGAACGCCGGCTCAAGGATTTGATCAAGAAGCACTCTGAGTTCATCAGCTACCCGATCTCTCTGTGGGTCGAGAAGACAATCGAGAAGGAGATTTCCGATGATGAGGATGAGGAAGAGAAGAAGGATGAGGAAGGAAAAGTTGAGGAGGTGGATGAGGAAAAGGAAAAGGAAGAGAAGAAAAAGAAGAAGATCAAAGAGGTTTCTCATGAATGGTCTTTGGTCAACAAGCAGAAACCTATCTGGATGAGGAAACCCGAGGAGATCACCAAGGAGGAGTATGCCGCCTTCTACAAGAGTCTTTCCAACGACTGGGAAGAGCACTTGGCTGTCAAGCACTTCTCAGTCGAGGGGCAGCTCGAGTTCAAGGCGATTCTCTTCGTCCCGAAGAGAGCACCGTTCGATTTGTTCGACACGAGGAAGAAACCCAACAACATCAAGCTCTATGTCCGACGTGTCTTCATCATGGACAACTGTGAAGAGATCATCCCAGAGTACCTTGGCTTTGTGAAGGGTATCGTAGATTCCGAGGACTTGCCTCTCAACATCTCACGAGAAATGCTGCAGCAGAACAAGATCCTGAAGGTCATCCGCAAGAACCTGGTGAAGAAATGCATCGAGCTCTTCTTTGAGATTGCTGAGAACAAGGAAGACTACAACAAATTCTACGAGGCATTCTCCAAGAACCTCAAGCTCGGAATCCATGAGGATTCTCAGAACAGAACCAAGATTGCTGAGTTGCTCCGTTACCACTCAACCAAAAGCGGCGACGAGTTGACCAGTCTGAAGGATTACGTGACGAGGATGAAGGAAGGACAGCAAGACATTTACTACATCACTGGCGAGAGCAAGAAAGCCGTGGAGAACTCCCCATTCCTTGAGAAGCTGAAGAAGAAAGGGTACGAAGTCCTATTCATGGTGGATGCCATCGACGAATACGCAATTGGTCAGCTCAAGGAATTCGAGGGCAAGAAGCTTGTGTCTGCCACCAAGGAAGGTCTAAAGCTCGACGAATCAGAGGACGAGAAGAAAAAGAAGGAAGAGCTGAAGGAGAAGTTCGAGAATCTCTGCAAGGTGATAAAGGACGTGTTGGGAGACAAGGTCGAGAAGGTGGTAGTGTCGGACCGTGTCGTCGATTCCCCGTGCTGTCTGGTGACGGGAGAGTACGGATGGACAGCGAACATGGAGAGGATCATGAAGGCGCAGGCACTGAGAGACAGCAGCATGGCGGGATACATGTCGAGCAAGAAGACGATGGAGATTAACCCGGAGAATCCGATATTGGACGAGCTGAGGAAGAGGGCTGAGGCAGACAAGAACGACAAGTCGGTGAAGGATCTCGTGCTGCTGCTGTTCGAGACGGCGCTTCTGACGTCGGGGTTCAGCCTGGACGATCCGAACACTTTCGGGAGCAGGATTCATAGGATGCTGAAGCTCGGTCTGAGCATCGATGACGAGGATGATGCTGTTGAGGGAGATTCCGACATGCCTCCGCTCGAAGAGGACGCTGAGGCTGAGGGCAGCAAGATGGAGGAAGTCGACTAAAAAGATCGAGAATGTTATCTTTGTTCATTCGGGTTTTATTTTGGGTTTTGTCTGAAATCAAAGATGTTTTCGTGTTTTTAGTGTTGTGACGTGGACTCTTTTAAGTTAGTCTAATATCCCACCATCTAGCTGCTCTGTTGTCGAACACTAACGCGATTTCTCTAAAAGATCTTCCCACTAGCGTATTTTTCCCAATTATATATATATATATATATATGTGTGTGTGTGTGCGCGCGTGTGTATGTATTGGTTATGTCCATTTTTTACTTTCGGTCGTTCAATTTAATGTGATTCGATTTTTTTGTTTAGCCTTCCAAAATTTTACATTTCCGTTTTTATGCCAGATTTAGGTAAATTAGAGTTTGATTTTGATTTGGATTTGATTTTAAATTAAAATGTTTGTTATTTCAAATAATTAATGTATTATATTCTGTTCAAAAAAGGGTTTTTCTATCATTTTTACATTCGATAGGTTATAGATTTTTTTCGATCAAGAAGTACTCGTAGGATTCGGTTTGGAACAATTCAGTTAATGAATTTTCAAATCGACCAAAACTAGTGATCATATCTATACATATATATATACGTGTATATAAATAGAAAGCTTAAAAAGAAAAACAAAACTCATAAATATAGAGATGTATGACAATAAGGAGAAGAAGAAAAAAAGATTCGAGAGAAAATGTTTCGAGCGTTATTACACATGAGAAACCTGCTCGTATATAACATTTTCTTCTCCCTGTGGCTGTTACTGGTGATGAGCCCTTCTCTGTACAAAATAAGCAATCACACGAGTAACCAACCATATACCTCTATCATACCCATTCACCATCTCTTTGAAAAACTCGCTTCTCAAAAAAAAAAAAAAAAAAGACCAAAGTAAATATGTGAATCTTGTCTTCTCTCATGATGTTGGGATTTGGGGACTCTCTACAGCGGGAGATGCTGTTTGCAGAGGGGACAGCATGAGATTATACGGAGCCATTGGTCCACGCATTTAAGGTGAAACGTATGCGAACACGGCAGCTGCCTCACCTCTTCCTTGTCCCTGTACTTTGCCAAACATATGCAACACTCCTGCAAAAACCCCACTCCGCCCCTTATCAGACAAGAACTCGAAATCTTGAATTCTTGAAAATATTCAAGAACTCGAGTTAAAAAGTAAGGAAACAAGGATACGACTTACTGGATCTTGAGCTGGGGGGTGAGCCGAATCAGAATCCGAAACGTTTTCGATCAGTTTGTATCTCCAGCTGGGGAGGCTGGAAATCTGATCATCAGAGGCTCCTCTGTCTGAAGAACCCATGTTCATGTTGTATCCGAGGAGGCTACTCACGAGCGGAACAACACAACAGAGGAGAAGGAACAACAGGAAAGGGAAGGAATAGCAGAGAGCGTTCCAAGCCAACAGAGAGATGCATAGGACGTGGAGCTTCGGGGCCCGTTGGAACGAACCTAGACGAGAATCGAACACCCACACGTTTCCGATCACAAACCATATCGCAAAGAACAGCTCCAGCGATGTCCTGCATCTGTTCATCAAGTGCCAACACCTGAAGGAAAAAAAAAACCATCGATGAAACTGATGTCCCAAATGCTTGCTGGATGATGAGAGCATCGGTCTTTGAACCACCTTTCTAACGAGTATAGATTGCAAACACGGGACACAGACTCTTAGTTTCCGAGTTGTATGAGACAGGGGAAATCAAGAACATGAGAAACACAACTTCATGCTCGTAATCGTTTTGAAAATCTTTTTAATTTCGAAGATTTGCCCTCTCAAAATTGGAAGAAACTCCCAAAATCTACGATAGGATATATACCATCTGAATCTGATTGTAATCCAAATATCCCAAAGCTATACAACTTTTCAAAACCAGCTGAATAACCAAGAACTTGGTTATGTTTCTATATATCAATCTTGTATTTAACTGAATAACAAAATTTTTGTGATTCTGGAAGTGGACAAAAGTGAATTTTGATAGTTACCTAGTCTCTTCTCTGCCTCTCTGCTGCTCCACATCACCAAGGCCAAGGTCCCCTTGGCTTTGGCTTGTGCTAAGTTGACGGTACCGTCCGTAAAGCAGCATAAGATTGAGCAGACAACCCACATCGTAACCGGTGATCCATAGCCTCACGGGCCAAATAGGCCTCTCCTTCTTCGATGCCGCCAGAGTGAATGTTATAACAGTGATTTGAACCAACAGGGCAATGAGCTCCGACATCATCCAAGTGCTTGAATTGAAAGGATTAGACCCGAGATCAGATCTCGATCCGTTCTGGTAGTGAAACACCCTTCTCAGGAAGATAAACCACCTCGCTCTGGATACCCTCACGGCCAATCGAATCAAGAAAGACGAAGGTGACCTCTCTCGGGCATTAGCCGCATCCTCCATGCGAGTGGTGGTATCACTCCGTGGCGTGGAACTCAACGAAGAGGATGATGAAACGGTGATCGATATACTGGATGATGTCTCCGGTTGAACAGAATAACGGGTATTCATCGGAATTCAAAGACTCAAACTCTCTCCAAGAAACTTCCAAATCAGGGAGTTCGAGCACTCTTCCTGCACCTTAACATGGAAAAAGAAAAGGATTGATACAGAGAATGAAAAAAAAATGCTCAGAAGCATGAGTTATTATTAGCATGCACATGGAATCCGTAAGTACATAGCAAGAAATATCATGGAAAACACGCAGGCTGTAACTAAAGTCACGAGATTCTCATGTCCTAACAATAACTCACGAAAATTCAAAGAGGCATATGATCGAATACCTTATATACAACTGCCCGGAAATCCACCAATACTCCGTACTCGACCTCCTCGATATACCAAAGCTACGTTTACGCTAGAGGGTACGAGAAACATTTCGATCGATAAACGCGAGATTCACATGAGCCCAGAAGAGAAAAACATAAAATTTCTCCGATGGAAACTGAACTTACCACGAAAGCAGAAACCCGAAAAGGGAATACGTGTGTACAAGACGGAGAGCCTGAAACAGCAGGAACGTAAACTTTGAACAGAGTAGGAAACAGAGGAAGATACTTAGAAAGGAACACGAAAAAGGTTGTCCGTGTGGAATCACTGAGAAACCAGAAGAAAAACACGTTCTGATATAGAAGGAGGAGATTGGGAAGAAGAAGAAGAAAGGAGGGTGTTATGAGGATGTCAGAGAAGGTGGAAGTTGGGCGAGAGATGGCGACCAATAATCAAACCTTAAAGCGATTTCTTTAAGCAAAAATATCAAAGCTTTTGTCTTTGATTTTTGCTTTGGTTGCAAGAATCAGACGCGCAGAGAGAGAGAGAAAGAGAGAAGATAACCGTCGGCCTAACCTAACATCTGGGGTTTTGTCTCTCGAGACAGCAACTGCTGCTTCAACCGCAAAACCCCCTCTCTTTCTCAGAGAATTATGGCCAAAGCCAGAGATTATTTTATTTTTTTATTTTTTTTATTGACACGTAATCTTGTGATTTCTATTTATTCATATTATTTATATATATTTATATTATAATATAATAATTTATATAATAATAATAATAATAAGTGGATAAGAAGAACATCTCATTAACGCCATCACTTCGGACGGTATCATCTTACACGATTTATTGCTTCCGCCCATACTTTTATTCAGATTCTATTGTTTTTCATCGGATTTTTAAATTAGCCACGAGCTTATTGGTTCACCAACCATTTACGTTTAAATAAATATAAATACCAATGAACATGATTTTAAAATAAATAAATAGGATAAATCGTGATAATTTACTTTTTGTTCCCCTATGGATAGGTTTACACAATCATTCATCAAATATTATTCTAACAACTTTTAAAACATTTTATCTCATAATTAAATTAATATATGCATAACTAAATTGATAAAATATCATAATAAACAAGTTTACAGATTTGTAGTTACATTATTCTATGGTTTACGGTTTATTTAGTGCATAAATTTAGTAATTTATTTGGATATATATATATATATATATATATATGGACGTACATATTTGAAAAATGGCGGGGGCTATTTCGCGGGTGTTTTACAGATTTGTAGTTACATTATTCTATGGTTTACGGTTTATTTAGTGCATAAATTTAGTAATTTATTTGGATATATATATATATATATATATATGGACGTACATATTTGAAAAATGGCGGGTACTATTACGAGGTTGTGGAACAAGTGGACGGTTGGCCAACCAATCTCAACCAGAAGAGTCTCTTTCATACGCAGTGGAGCCCCGATCCCCTCTCTTCATCTTGTGTCTATTTTAATTATATGGATAATATTCGCAATATTTATTTATATTTAAAAATACCCATCTCTTGTGATTTGTATACATAAATAACTTTAAATTTCTTGTATATTATAAGACATATATAGCGTTTTACGTTCACTTATAATCAGTATAAAAATTTTACTATAAGTAGATCCATTTGTATATATGTAACTAGTAAAGGCTATAGAGATTATTTGGCCACGTTCTTTTTAGGGGGAAAACCTCCGATTTAAGGTAGAGTCCCTCATGGGGGATATTATGGTTGCACGCATTGGTTTAAGTTTGAATCAGGGTTTGTGGTTGGTTAAGACCTTATCTATGTTCACAAGGAACAAGGAACTTATACTAAATTTGGTTTATAGTATATAGTTAGTAATTTTTGTAACACTAAACTAAGATTCAATTTAGGGTAAAACCCCTAAAAAACCTCCAACTTGCAAAAATATATACAAATAAACCTTCAACTTGAAAAACTGTAATTCAATCTCCGAACTTGTAACTTGTCACTGAATAAAACCCCGAACTTGCAAATTATTGCTCTAATAAACATTTGACCGGTTTGACCACAATTTCAGGCGATCAGAAATCCATGTATTAACGGATTGTTGATGTCACTTTATACACGTTGTCAATTTTAATTTAAAAAATGATATCAGCATTCCATCAATACATAGATTTCCGATCACCTGAAATTGTGGTCAAACCGGTCAAAGGTTAAATAGAACAATAATTTGCAAGTTTGAGGTTTTATTCAGTGACAAGTTACAAGTTCGGGGATTGAATGATAGTTTTTTAAGTTGAAGGTTTATTTGTATATATTTTTGCAAGTTGAAGGTTCTTTTGGGGTTTTACCCTTCAATTTATTATTGTAATACTATATATCGGCAAAAAAATAATGATGTAGGACAATCATGATCGAATGTATAGATAATAATCAAATCATAAATAACAAATTTTCATATCGATGACTAATATACAAGAACTCTTAAGTTTTCACGGTTTTTGTTTGTTTCCACTAAATATCATTTAGTTAAATTGGTCAATAAACCTTATGTTAGATGGTAGTTATTCTGTTGGGATATATTTCGATCCTTCTCTTATCACTCCAAGATTCTAGGAATATTTGATTAGATCTGTTTCTATCTTTCCAATATTCTTGTTTCATTCACACCTGTATATATGCGACACTTGAGTACAGATTTGAATAAGAGAGAAACTTTTTCCTTTGTATCATGGAGTTTAACACCTTAAAAGTCGTGGCCGAATGATTGTAACTCTGGTTGTACGGTGCGGTTGAAATACCCATAACCCAAAGATTCTATATTTGACCGAAGAGGAAAAATACAATTTAATTATAATAAAGTTGCATATAACTCAAAATAGATATAATTGGAATGAAGATTCAATAAATCAACCTAATGAATCAAACTGAATATAAAAAAATCAATAATTTTTATAGAAAAAAAGAACTGTTTTGATTATAAATGTAAAAAAAAAAATTGTGCCTTGTAGGGTTCTTTGAGTGGCTCACCATTCATAATGCAAAAATCAAAATTTTAATTCACTGCCTTTATAACCATTTTGATATTTAATTGCTCAATATCATAACCCGAAAAGGTTACTTTTCCAGTTTCTAGGGCAAGTCTAATTAACTTGGCAATTAAACATAGATTCAGCGACGTCTCTCTATATGACACCTGTCCTATTTTGGTTGTAATTCCAAACTTTAAACTTGGCAATTACCCTATATAGGGATGTCAATTAAGCCCGGAGCCCGAAACCCGGTCCGAACCCGCCCGAAAATTATAAGGACATGGACCTAAAAAATGTAGGTTCATTAAACTTCGGGCTTTCGGACCTCGGGCCAAATGGGCTACGGGCCGGTCGGGCCGGACCAGTCGGGTCTCGGGCCGGGCTTGAGACCCGTTAATTTTTTTTTTGTTTTTTCTAACCTTCTTTTCTAAACCAAAGTTTTACCTGTCTATACTTATAAATATGTGTGCCTAAATATATATATATATATATATTTGAACCAAATGATGAACTTTTATATCTTAGTTCCAATTAAACTTTTTAAAGTGACGGGAATTTTGAATTTCTTAACCATATTATATCATATATAATATATATAAATTTACATTTTAGAAAGGTAGAAGTTTTCAAATATATATTTTTAAACCTTTGTTTGTATATGAACATATTGATTTTTTTCTATAGGTTTTAAATTAATTACATCATAGAATTTTTTTTTATATTATGTTTGTTATTTTTTATCACGTTTAAAAGTTTTTAATCGCATGTTGTGGTGTTGGAGAATTGAACAATTGGATAATTTTTTCAATTTTATTTTTATTTGTGAACTAAATAACTTTGTTGTTATCGGTTTTAAAAATATTTTTGTTAAATGTTTCATATTATTATTATTATTATTATTATTATTATTATTATTATTATTATTATTATTATTATTATTATTATTATTATTATTATTATTATTATTATTATTATTATTATTATTATTATTATTATTATTATTATTATTATTATTATTATTATTATTATTATTATCGCAAAAAAAAATTTATTTAATAAAAAGCCCGAAGCCCAGCCCGAACCCGCCCGAAGCCCTGTAGGGTCGGACTCCGGGCCATCGATCCTAGATCCGAAAAATAAATGGGCGGGCCGACTCGACCCGAAAAATTCTAGGCCCGAATTGAACCCGGTCCGAACCCGGCCCGACCCGCCCATTTTACACCCCTAACCCTATATGACACCTGTCCTATTTACGAATAATTCCAAACTTTATCCCAAGTTTTAAATATGATCTTTTATATACATTTGGTATGTCTATTTTCGTATAAAGTCGCGAACCAACCGAGAAATCTTACTTAACGAACATAACTACTTGATATAGGCAAAAAAATCTGTGAACTTTGACCAACACGTGTTTCTCTTCTCCCCAGTGACCGTTCCACTTGACACCATCCGAACATGACACGTGGCTTTTTGGCACGGTCAGAATCTACCCGAAAAATATTTAGTTTTGGATAGGGGTGAGCGTTTCGGGTTTCAGTTCGGTATTCAAGCAGTTCGGTTCAGGAACGGTATTTTCGGTTTTATAAAAAGTATACCAAACTAGAACCGAATGTTAAACGGTTCTGTTCGATTCGGTTTTAGTATCGGTTCAGTTCGGAACGGTACCATTATATGAATACCAAATAAATACCAAACTATAATATTTACACATATATTAGTGGAATATTCGATTTTTAGTTCGGTATTCATATGGTTCGGTTCGGAAAACGGTTCATTCAGTTCTATGAAAAGTGTACCAAATTAAAACCAAACGTTATTCGATTCGGTTCGGTCCGGTTCGATTTCAGGACGGATCGGGTCGGTACTAAATTCCTGAACCAAAATGTCTACTCCTAGTTTTGGGATTAAGTTTTTCTACCGGAGAAAAATCGGATTTTTGTACCGTATTCAATTCGGATTTTGGATTCGATTTGAGTCGGTTTTAAAATAAAAAAATCATTAAGAAAAAGATAATTACACAGGAATTTAGCGGGTGGGCCGAGTCCGGAACTTATAAAGCCGGATTTCGGTTTGATTTTATAGGCCAAAAAAATCGGGTCGACTCGAATTCGAAACTCTCGGATCAAGTGTTGGCTTGGACCGGGTGAGCCTAATTGACACCTCTAGGTAAGAATCAGATCTGTATTCAAAGACTATTTTGTGTTTGTTAATTATGTAATCGAATTTAAAATACAGACAAAAACACGTATAATCGCCTATCTTATCGTATGATTTACAAAATGGAAATCGTATGTTTTCACAAAAATTTTCAAAATTTACAGACATCTTACGAGGTTTCTTTCTGCATTTCGTTTTCCCCCCCTACAACAAACAGAGAGACAACAACGGAGATTCTTATGCTTTACATAAACATTACATGCACAAACGAAATATCGACCAAAAAGATTATAAACAAAATGCACAAATTTTCATCGTCTCCCCTAATGTACATGGATCTCTGAATCCACAACCCGCCATTGAAGAAGCTTCGAAGCTCCTGCAAAAAAAAGAACGACTAGTCGTCGTCACTCTTCTTCGGATCGTTCAGAACAAACTCTGCGTACAGATCCTTCAACGCAATCACCACCGTCGTTATCAACGGCCCCATAATCGCTCCCTGCGTTAAAACAATCAAACTCAGATAAATCTCGTCGTCACATTGCCATTTCCATTCAAGAAATGCGCATATTTTCCCTCGATCTTGAACGTACCTCGAGCGCAGAGGGAAACAGAGTCATCCCACCGATGATGCTGAGTCCGGTAATGTAGGCATTGGATCCCGGAATATCGTCCTGAATCTCGGAAACTCCATAGTCCATGATCACGAGGTGAGTGACCGATAAGGTCACGGCCATTATGTATCTGCCCTCGAGCACGAGCTGCACGGCTGCTGGAACGGTCGCGAACCAGTTCGGGAAGATGGGCAAGAGGGCGCTGATGAAAGCCAGGACGGTTGACATGTACAGGAAGTGTATTCTGTACAGTCTGAACAGAAGCCATGTGAGGCAACCTTGGAAGAACGCGATCTCTGCAGTGGCGAGAAGAACGCTCGAGATGGCTACGTCGAGGACTTCTACATATCTGATTCTTGCGGTTGGCGAGATCGGGAGCATGCTCATGACTTGCTCGGTCACACCTCCAGATTCTGAAGTGATGATAACGTACAGAACCCAGATGAAAACCATCAGCCGGGAGACGAAATTGATGAACTCGGCTGCTCCAGATATGATGGAGTTACCGACCGAGAACATGAATTTGGCACCGCCTCCCACTACTGAGGCGCTGCTGGAAAATACCCGTTGCGAGATGTCCATCCCCTTAACAGCAAACCCTTTTGCTTTCTCGACAAGATCTTCCCGGGTTATTATCAGTTCCCTGAAAATCGCATCGAGCTCTGAATAGATCTGGCTCCACTCCTGATCCTTGATCATCGTCCTCAAACTCATGAGCTTCTCGGTGTAAGGAGACGGGGAAATAAGAGCAGTGGATGGTTCGGATGAACTGTTAGTAGGCTGCGAAATCACGAAATGCTTAATCCCGGTGACTAACTCCGTCATGTTATACTGCATTGCCAAGCTATCGACTTGATCCAACACGGTTTCGTAGAATTTCGTTGTGTACCTATCCACCATTCCCGGGACATCGTTCTCGTCCATCCACTGCTTGATACCGATCTTCTCTGCGTAATTACTCTCTTCGACGTGCGATTTCAGCGAAAACATTGCGTCTTTCCCCTCAACTCCGATCTTGTACGAGAAAAATATCACACCAGTCAAGAATCCGACAATCATGATAACGATCAAACCGATGGCTACAATGGTGTTCAACCTCTTGAGTATCCCTCTGGTGAAATATGCAGAGAAGCGGCTACGCCTGAAGCTGTTGCACCTCAAGGAAGAAACCGCTGAAAGAGTTGAATCCACGTTCTTAGAACTAAACAGAAACCCTAATGCGAGAATCATGAGTGACCCAATTCCACCAATCCTCTCGTAAGCAATCACGAACACACCAAACGAGACTAGCCATCTGACCAATTTCGAAAACCCAGTTCCGTTCTGTCTCGTTCTCTTGGGTTTCGATTTCCTGAGAAAAACCCTAGAACAGACATGCTTGATATCCACAATCGATCCTATGAACACCTTAAATACAGCGACGGGGACAGCGAGGAGGGTTTCTGTGAGACCCAATTTCAAGGGCTCGCTCCAGAAATCGACAAGGGTCTCTTGAATTCCTCTGAGAGGAATCGAGCAGAGAATCGCCCACTGAATCGGCCTCAGATACTCCTGCAAAAGCTTTCCGACGAAATACAGGACGAAAATGGCGAAGGCGAGTCCGGCGTGAGCCATGGCTATGTAGATAGCGAGCCGTACCTGAGGATCAACGGCGGTGAGCGAGGTCTTCCCGGTGTCGTGGGAATTCCGCGGCGGAGCCGGGTTTTCCGGGGGAGGCGCGTGCGGCTTACGCATTGAAGCGGAGCGGAACATGTCCTGCCACGCGAGATTGGCGGAGTTCGATGACTTCGCGTCCGAATCGTAAGGAACCAATTCCATCCACCACTCTCTCTCTCCCTCTCTCTACCCAGAAAAAAAGGAACGATTTTTAAACCTCTGAATAAAGAAAAAAAAACTTTTTTTTTGGCTGCCCTCGAGCTGACAGAGCTCCGAGAAAGAGAAGATGAAGAAGAAACCTTTGCAGCGGGATTATCACGTGGCCTTGTGTCGGTTGACTATTTGACTATTATTAGATACAGATTTTCCCCAGAAAATAATTGAAGGTGACGATGGTTGGTCAAGAAGACTGTATCAAATGCTGCATTTACTAAAATGCCCTCGCCGACCACGACCGCTCACGACGTTGTTATTATGCATGTCTTTTTTTTTTTTTTTGGTAAACGATTATGCATGTCTTTGCTGTGAGTTAGTTCCAAATTACGTAAATAAATACCGAAATATAAACCGTATGATTTTGTTTATAGATATTGTCATTATTAGGAATGGATTTTTATTTTATTTCTTGTGATTTGAATTTAATCAAACAAAGTTGTCAAATGTGATGTGCCCCCCATATGCCTCGAACGAACATGTTCTCCTGTTTCGTTCTTTCATTTTCTTTTTCTTTATGTTTGCAAATCGTCATGTCTACTTCTGGCGCCCAATCACAAGTTTATCTCAAATAAACATCCCAACTTGTTTTTATTTCTATTATTCTATATACTAAACCATACATTTATTTTTTTTAATGGTACTGTACAATATCACATATATTTTCGAATTAAACCATAGCTTTTTAAAACTTGAACGGATGAATTTTCATGGTTTTGGGTAGAAATATTTACTGTGAAAACATAATATTTATATATTAATTCATCGCAAGGAAAGGGGTTTATAAAGATTTTTTTTTTCACTAAATTAAATATTATAGATCATGTGGGCATTAGATAGCGTTCCATGTTTCGGTAGTCACGGTGTTGATAAAAAAAACAATGCAAATGAATTAAAAGATCACATCAAATTCGGTCAATATGTCGATTTGTGCACAAATTTATTAACCTTTTGATTAATATAAGGTCGAAATATCAAAATCCAAACTCCTAATTCATGACAGACTTAATGATTTTTACAGCGTTTACTGTTTAAGAATTAGCAGACAAAGTAGAGCTGGAAATGTCGGTTTACCAAATCCACGAGCAAATCTTTTCCATTATTCTACGTTTTTCGGCTAATAATAATAATAATAGTATCATGATGATGATGATGATGATGATGATGCATAAGTAATAATTGAATTACAACCAATTAATCTGTTTTAATACTGGGATGTGGGCCCACGTAGCAAACCGACCGGTCCATGGTAACAGTATTGGATCGAATTTATTTGGGCTGAATCATTAGGCCCAAATAGCTCTATAAAAGTTTGTGTGGGCTTTAGGAATTATATACTGCTACGGCCCATGATAGTTTTGTCCTTGTGAAGATGTATAAAAGATCAAGGAATTATAACTTATAAGATGTGGGTCCACATTATTACATAATAAAAATGATTGGATACTATAAATGTAAAAAGTTGATGACGTGGCGAGTTTGGAAGTTTTGCGACCCTTCGATGTTCGTAATTTGTAATACATTTACATTTATCTATCAAAACTAATCCAAACATTGAATCATTATAATGATAAATTGCATAAAAATATTATCACAAGAACGAAGAAAGTATACGATGACCCAAATCAACCAATTGACTGATCAAAAGTTTGGAATGTTGGTATTTTTAGAGTAAATGAATGGGGTTTATTAATAATCTCTCAAGAGATTCATAGTTATATGTATTACGGATATGGTGAAGTAGTTAAATATTCGTAAATGATATAATATGGATCGGTGAAACACATATGTGTTTAGCAGTAAAGTTGTTCGGTTTGTGAGTGAGGTATACCTCAATTCGGGTGAAGTAGAACTCAGTCTACATGACGAAAACGAAATTTCCTTTACAGAAATGTAACTCGGTCCGTGTTAGATTTAACTCGGACTGTGTTGATTGTCTGAGGAAAAACTCGTTTTGCACAGAAATTTGACACGGTCCGAGTCAGAAGCAACTCGGTCCGTATCAAGTGTAACTCGGTCCGTGTCAAGTGTAACTCGGTCCGAGTCAAAAGTCTGTGAGAAGTACTTCGTGTTGTGTCAAGTGTAACTCGGAACATGACAGTTAAATACGAACTGATGCGATTCTTCGCGTGAAAACTGCAGATTTTGCAACTTTTGGTAATGTTCTTTGGTGTTTATATACTAAAGACGTCAGAATAAGTTTGGTATGAGATTAATTCCAATTTTGAGAGATTTTGAGAGCACTTTCGGAAGTTTCTTGCAAAAACTATCCCGAGAGTTTTCGTTTATCTTCTTCTTCACGTTTCCTTGTCTGTGCGTTCTTGAACGAGCAATTCTAGAACGTATTTCTCTTCATTGTATCTCAGAATCGTATTCCGGTAGTCCTTACTCGTAACAGACGGAATAACGGTTTTAGGAAAGTGTCTACACGTCTTAAAGAAATATTCGGTCCCTCGGTTCGATTTCATTCTCGTTCTTCCGTTGATTTCCTCCAGATTTCTAACATGGAACACGACCCTGAGAGATTTCTTGAGCATATTTAGAAATAGGGGGTTTAATTGTAAAATGTATTTAAGTTTGTGATCATTATGTAATTAAATGTAAATTCAAGGCGATTAAGTGAAAATTTTGACCTGTTTTATACTTTGCCATCGCCATCGTTAGCAAAGACGAGCTCCTTCCTCCCACAAGTTCTCTTCTTTAATTCTCTCTGCAACTCCGCTGTGATCTTCTTCTGCGTGCGGCGGCGAGTCGTACCGACTCAGTGAGTTACCGATCGAGTTAGAGATGGGCATGGGAAGCAACGGCGAGCTTAGGTATGAGATCTCGCAGAACGCGTACATCAAGCTAGTCCTGCACGCGCTTCGACACAAGACGGCGGCGGTCAACGGAGTTTTAGTCGGCCGAATCAGCCCTAAGGACGATGGCGTTGTGGAGATCTCGGATTCTGTGCCTCTTTTCCACTCCAACCTCGCTCTCCTGCCTCCTCTCGAGATCTCGCTCATCATGGTCTGTGGTTCTTCCTCTTCTTTTCATTTGAAATCGTCTCTTGCTGAAAACTGTCTGCTTTATGTGGGTTGGAATCTAATTTTGAAGTTACGGTCGGAATTTGTTGATGTGCACGTAGAACAGCGAAATTGGCGTTTCACTGTGTGTTACTATACAAGGCATCAGATGGGCGATTCCTCAGTTTGTTATTGTGTAGAATCTGCTGTTTGTTTCCGGGAACGTTTTCTTTGGTTTATAATTGAAGGGACAAGATAAAAGATCTCAAATTGCGTTGGAATTTAACGACTAGAAGTGCTTTCTGCTGTTGCTTATGTCCTCTCAATGCGATTAGGGGTCAGGAGAAATTGCATTCCGATTTTTTTTTTTGTGTGATATGAGAAATTGACTGCTTCTAGTTTACATTTCTTTTTGGCTGGTTGTATTAGATTGAGGAACATTATGTGGCACAAGGTCTGAGCATTGTCGGATACTTTCACGCGAACGAAAGGTTCGGTGATGTTGAACTGTGTGGTGTTGCAAAGAACATTGGTGATCACATTTCTCGATATTTCCCTCAGGCCCCAATTCTCTTGGTGAATATTTGCCCTCTACTCTGTAATGTTGTGAATTCTTATGGCTCGGCTATGTTCTAGCATCTAATTTTGCTCCCTTTCGCTTCTTTTTTAGTTAGACAACAAAAAGTTTGAAGCTTTAGCAAAGGGTAAAGATCGGAGCCCTGTGATGCAGGTTGGTATTTTGAACCACTATCTCAATGACATGCCAACTCCTCCTTATCTACTTCAAGAACACTTTAGATTTTGTTCAAGCAGCTTCTCTTTTGTCAGAGATCTATTATCTTGAGGAATTAGGGATTTTCCATCAGAACTTTGATCGAAGATTCATTTTGGAACATTCTCTTTACTGCTAGATCTCTGGATTATATCTTAAGATCCCCTGAAAAGTGAAAATCCATATGAGCCAGATGCTATGAATATATGGAAAGGCCTATCAATCAGTTTCAGTAGGCTGCGTTGTTTCCTTTAGTAATAATTTTTTCTTTATGAATTTGTTAGCTTTATGTAAGGGATGCTTCCAAGAACTGGAGATTGGTAGGAGCAGACGGAGGCAGCAAGTTACTCTTGAAGGAACCATCGGCTAATGTAGTTTTGTCAGACTACATTTCGTCGGAGAAATGGAAGGACGTTGCAGATTTTGATGACCACCTTGACAATGTCACCAAGTAAGTGAGATAACATTGTACAGTACACTCAGGAAACAGGCAATCCATAATGTTCAGATGTTATTTTCTGTGTTGGGTACTCAAATTCATGTGATTTGATTGCAGGGACTGGCTCAACCCGGGACTTTTCAACTGAAGATGGGCAACAGCTGTTTAAACTTTGTGTTTCCTAATCTTTGGCACCACAAGTTTCTAGATTTTCTTGTTTGCAATACTTAGAATCTTGTTCAATTATTGTTCTGCTACACAAGCAGAGCATGAGAACTCGAAATTTGGATGGAAGGAGATTGACTTGAGAGCTTCTTCACATTCACATGCTTTGAACCTCTTGAATATGTAATGCAAGGCTTTTACCACTGGTACTGCAAAGATCAAAGCCATGTGGATTTGTTTGATCAGGGAACTTTCTTGACAGGATCCAACCAGAAACAGGGGCGAGGAGGTCAATGAGGAAGAACCAGATCAACCCCAGGTATACACAATTCATTCTTTGAGGTATATAACTCACTTATAACCCCCTGATTTGCCACAAGAGAGGAAATGAACACAAAGGGCTGTGCATTGTATGATAGATATTTCATTAGGGTATAAAGAAGGAAAGGGAATGGCAGTGAGCTGTTCATTGATTGGATGAGTTCTTGTTTGGAGATTTTGAATCCTAGTGTGGGACTTTAGCGTTGGAGAAAACATGACAACTCATCCTACATCCCACCTTTGTCAGATCCTGTTTGGAGACTGCATATTAATTACTACTAACTCATCTGGTTAGATTTTTAGATTTCCAGCATCTCCACACACATACATACCCTATTATACAAGATGTATTGATACGCACATGTATATATATGTGGTGTATCATCTTACAAATTAATGTAATGACTTTCTTGTAGTTTCTCTGCAGAGGACAGGATTCAGTCTTGTTTGTGGTTGTGTCTGTCTTCTAAGACATTACATATGGATGGGATATTCCAAAATCCCAAGGGAATTCTTTTTGCATTGCCCAAAGGATCCGACTTTTAAACCTAATTTACATGTTTTCAAAGAGGTTCTTTTGCATTGCCCAAAAGATGCAACCTTTGTAATACTCAGCATCAGCAATATTTTGTTGGAAAAAAAAAACATCAACAAAAAAAAGTAGGGGAAAGAAAGTAAAAGCAAAAAAAAAAAAAAAAAAAAGAAAAAGAAAAAACCAAACTTTTGAAATTTACCACGTTATCATCGACTCCAAAAATGACCTTTTACTTTATTGGGTTTCTCTCTTATGAAGGGTGCGAGAGCGTGTATTCTACGCTCTCACATGGCGCGTCCCTCTTTATGTTTTGCCTAACCATGGCTCGTCTCTTTCTTTTTTGTTTTGGTTCGGCTCTTTTTTCTTTTTATCCCATATGTATTTATCCTATTTTGATATATAATATTTTAAAGGTAATTAGGTTTCATCATATTCCGGATTGGATTATAACCAAATAAAAAAGCGAAAACCAAAATGATTTTAGAAATACTTGAGTTAGGGGCATCTCATGACAGCCATAATAATTGAAACTAAAAAGACAAAGTATCTTCATAAATTATGTAATCTTCTGCAAAGTATGACAGTAATATTTTTAATTAGAATTAGATATTTATGTTATATAACTCATTAAAATGTTTTTTGTCACAATAGAAAAAATATTTTTGAGCCATCTAATAGAAAATAATTGTGTTTATTTATTCAACTATTACACCTAATAAGCATGAGCATCTTTGGTAATGAAGGTGTTGATGATGGAAACCTTTGTCTTCCATTTTGCAGAAAACAAAAATACATTGAAATAATTGAAGCCCTCAAAAAGTTGCAAACTTTTCCTTTGACCCTTCCTCTCTCCTCTCTTTTCATGGTATACCCAACTCTCTTTCCCCACTCTCTCTCCATTTCCATGGAAGGAGATGAGTTCCTCCATTTCTATATCTCTGTCTACAGCGATGCATGAACAGTAGAAGTTGTCTGCTTTTTCACCTTCCTTTTCCTCTTCTTCCCCTGCTAACTCCCCGAGAATCAGGGCAAAAAAAGGGTCTCGAGATCTGTCTATCAGAGCGATTATTCGGGTATTGATTTTTGATTTCTTCTCGTCAAAGCCTGTTCCTTTTTGGGTTTTAGCAACTGGGTTTTTCTTTGTCTCTCTAGATCCGGAAGGAAATTGCTTCGTCGTTCTTGCATTTTGTTGAGATCTGTGTAAGCTTAGGAGGAGAGGACAACCTCTCCTTTGCATGAGCTATCTGTTCTAATCCTTGTTGTGCGTAAGACGATTGAAAAAGTAGAGTGCGCAAAGGGTTTTCTCATGTCGAAATAGCGAATTTCTTGTGGGGTAACTATAATATTGATCAGTGATTCTCAGTGAGACTTGAACTCGACATCTATAACGTGGTTGAGGTAAGATTTGTATTCTGTATGTACGATTTTTTTTTTATAGGATTTCTTTCGATTTTATGCTCTCAATTGGTAATAAAGGAATGATCTTGACGCTTGAGAGTCATACTGGAAACGGACAACTATGGAGGAGCTGCGGCTACTGCTGAGTCTATGTCCAATCCAAAAATAGGGTCTTTTATAGGGTTTATGTGTGTTTTTCTACTTGATTACGGTAAAAATGAAATCTTCACTATCCATGATCGCTGAAGTCTTGATGGTTGATCGTCGCCATGATTGTAACTTTCTGAACAAATCCTAATCTCAGTCTTGGGTTTTAAGGTTGATGTTCTGATGAGTACCTCCCTTCTCCAAGTGACTCCAATGTTTCTTCTTCCTTTGTTTTGTTGTTTTCTTTTCATTCTACTTTGACCTTCTTTTTGTTTCACACGCAGATCATGCAAGTGTTTGATGAAATCTGTGGTGGTATTGGTAAGTGGAGTTTAGAGTAGTTCCCAGAATCTCGGGAGCTATGTGATGGGTTGCTAGTATCTAGTGCGCTTGACTATTTTCCTCCTCCATGGCGACGGGATCTGGCTCTGGAGTTCACCCAGAAAAGGAAAGGGAAAAGGGTGATATGCAAAGCCCAGAAGAAGGGACACTTTCTAACTCCAGTCAAAGTAATTCGGTCAACACTTTGGCGGATCAAGTATCGTCAAGTTTGTCTTTTGCTAATCCAAGTAGTGACGGCAAAACCAGCAGGAGTGCTAGACTTAGCGAGCAGCCTGATCTTGCTGAGAGCGGGAAGAGTAGCAATTGTAGACCAAGTACAAGCAGTGATGTAAGTGATGAAAGCACTTGTAGCAGCTTAAGTAGCATTAACAAGCCTCACAAGGCGAATGATGTGAGGTGGGAGGCAATACAAGCTGTCCGGTCCAAGCATGGTGTTCTGGGTTTGAACCATTTTAGGCTCTTGAAGAGACTGGGATGCGGGGATATTGGAACTGTCCATCTTGCTGAGTTGAACGGGACAAAGTGTTATTTTGCGATGAAGATTATGGACAAAGCTGCTTTGGCTAGCCGTAAGAAGCTTCTCCGAGCTCAAACCGAGAGGGAGATATTGCAATGCCTTGATCACCCTTTTCTTCCGACATTGTATAGTCATTTCGAGACTGAGAAGTTCTCGTGTTTGGTTATGGAGTTCTGCCCTGGAGGTGACTTGCATACCCTTCGACAAAGGCAGCCTGGAAAGCGTTTCCCCGAACAAGCAGCAAAGTAAGACAATCATAATCCACTAAACTGTCCAATCTTTAAACTATTCTCGTGTCATCATATGTGTTCTTTGTTCTTTCAGGTTTTATGTAGCGGAGGTACTCCTTGCTCTGGAATACCTCCACATGCTCGGAATCATTTACCGTGATCTAAAGCCGGAGAATGTTCTCGTGAGAGAAGATGGGCATGTGATGCTTTCGGACTTTGATCTCTCCCTCAGGTGTACTGTTAGTCTTACAGTAGTGAGATCAACTGCTCTTGGGCCCGAATCTTTGCAAAAGAATTCAGTCTATTGTGCTCAACCTGCATGCATCCAACAACCATCTTGCATGGCCATGGCTCCCACCACATGTTTTTCTCCACGGTTCTTCTCCAGTAAATCGAAGAAAGACAAGAAAATAAAAAACGAGACAGGAAATCAGGTCAGCCCACTGCCTGAGCTAATAGCTGAGCCAACAAGTGCTCGTTCGATGTCATTTGTCGGCACACATGAATACTTGGCTCCTGAAATCATCAAAGGAGAAGGCCATGGAAGTGCAGTTGATTGGTGGACTTTCGGGATCTTTCTATATGAGCTATTGTTCGGTAAAACCCCATTCAAAGGGTCAGGCAACCGGGCTACGCTCTTCAACGTTGTGGGCCAGCCTCTACGTTTCCCTGAATCTCCTGTTGTCAGTTTTGCAGCAAGAGATTTGATTAGGAGCTTGCTTGTGAAGGAACCACATCACAGATTAGCGTATAAGCGTGGAGCAACGGAGATAAAGCAACATCCTTTCTTCGAAGGAGTGAATTGGGCTCTGGTTAGATGTGCAAGTCCTCCTGAGATACCGAAACCCGTTGAGCTTGAGAGTGTTCCTGCTCTGACAACATCTACCAGTGGCAGATCCGACCCGAGTAATAAAAACTATCTGGAGTTCGACTTCTTCTGAGATTGCTCACTATGAACTGCCTTAGATCCTCATATGGTTCCTTTGCAATGGCAGATCTGTTTTAGTCTGTTGATGTTCTTAAAAGGGTTTTCAAAAAATGTGTCGACTTTTAAATTCTTTTTCACGTTTTTCTTGGAAAAGTTCCGAGCTTTGTAATTCTGCAACATAAAATTGTTCACTCTTTTCTGTGCTGATGTTTTCTTGCACCCTTCAGTGAAAGAACGTCTTTACAAGTTCACATTAGCATTAGCAGCACAAAGTTAGCAAATCTTTACTCATTTTGTTTCTGTCAGAGACAATGTTGAAGCTTATGGAAGAAAGCAACTCTCTTTCTGAAGTGAGCTCGTTTACTACAGAAAAAAAACATGTTTCTCCTTTTATCCTAAAGCTGCTGCTGATTTCAAACCATGCTCATCTTGCAAACACAGATTTCTGCTGTTCTTCTACTTTGCATACAGCCCGACAAGTATGACCCCTGTCTTAAACAGTTCACAACTGCACAACAACCCGCAAAACTGAAGCAGCATCAGAAGGGTTTTTCCCGGGGAAGATAAGAAGGAGATCCCCCTTCGACTTGATTCTTCTTCCTGTGAAATATTCCCACTTAGATTCGGTAGAAGTACTTTCTTTGAGATGACGGAGGTTTTCGTCTTTTCCAGTTTGTGGATCTCGACCCTTCTCTCTGCAAGCTTCTTCTATTTCGGGACTTTGTAATTGTGCGGTGATGATTCAGTGGACACCTTCTCGGCTTCAGCAAGAATCCTTTGCTCTCTTTCACGTCACCTTCTAAGTTCACATTCCACAGCCTTCTTGGCTGCCTCGGCCATATCTGCCTTCTCCAGTGCTTCTTGGGTTGCAGTTTTTAAATGCTCGATATCCTTTTGTGACATCTCTAACTTCTTCAACGACTCATTCTCACTAGCTCTCACTGCTTCCGCCTGGGCCAATGCAGCAGCCACTTTCATTTCAGCTAACTTAACAGATTCCTCTGCTTTTGTGCTCAAGGACTCGAATTCTTCACGAGGCATTGTGATCTGCGTGGCACCAGTTTCAGATGTCAAAGTACGTGCACTGTTGGTTTTTTCAGACATGGAATTTATCTGTTCAAGCACTCTTGTCTCAGCAGCTTGTGCTTCTTCTACATCCTCTTGAGCAACCCTAAGGTTAAGCTCTACATCTTCAAGAGCAACATGTGCAGCTTCTGCTTCCTTCCTCAACTCCTCGGCCTTGATTCTCATTTCTTCAGATTCTCGTCGGATAGACTCTCTCAGAAGATAATTGGTTGAGTTCTGAGATCATGTCTTCAAAAGCACCCTTTGTTTGAGATTCCTCTGCAAGGCATGCTTCAAGCTTGGTCTTATCCTTCCTTAGCTTGAGCTGAAGATTTCCAGCCACAGATTCCGATTGAGCTTCTTCTATCTTTAGTTCAGCCTGTTCCTTCTTCACATTGTCCAGTTCTGTTTTGAGAGATTTCCCCAACTCCTTTAGATTTTTCTCTCCTAGGACAGAGTTTCTTAAGGGACTCCTTTGCATCATCCAAATCAACTGTCACATTTCTCACAGAATCCATATCTGATGCTTTTGCATTCTCCATTTGTTTCTGCAATGAGCTGATTTCGTTATATGTTTCAACCAGCTGCATTTCAAGTTTTTTTATTAGTTCAGGTTCGAACCCGTTCTTCAAACTGAGCAATTTCTTTGTCGACTCTTCCATGCTAGCCTTATATGATTGCTTCTGAATATCCTTCTCTGCAAATACTCGAGCTTTCTCTTTCAGCGTTTGCAAACATGCAAGCTTCATCTGTTTCAACAGATTCATTAGCGGCCAAAATTTTCCTTTCGGAGCTCTCTAATCTTCTCAGAGTTGGCTTCAACCGCTTTCTTAGCTTCCTTTACAGTATCTAAAGCAGCAGTCTTTATCTCCAAAATTTCATTTGAATCCTGATGGATTTTTTTCACTTCTTGCTTCGCGATATCAAGCTGACTAAGTACTGCCCCAAACCGTTCCATGGCATTTTTGTGTCCTGCTTCTGTGCATCACTGGATGAGGGAACACTTCCTGATTTTGCTTCCTCGATTCTTTGCAGCTTCTGTCACCATAATTGCCGAATCTCTTGTTTCATTGACCGCATTCAGCCTGTTGGTAAGATCATAAACCGTCCTTTTAGCTTGTTCGAGCTCAGCCAAAGCTTCCTCCTTTGTTGTTTCGGCATTCTTAAGCTGTTCTTTTAACTGGTTGAGCTCCTTCTGTTCCAAGTGAGGCTGCAACTCCTTAGCCAAAACTCTCTGCACCGAGACAAGGACAGAAGAATGACATTTTTTTAGATTCGGCATGTAATACAGTTTCTCTCAACTAATTCACCACTCTTAAACCGTTAGAAGAAGACAAAAGTCTCAACCTCAATACAAACACTTCATCACTTCTACAGTGAGAAAGAAATGGTTCCATTGACTAAACTTGTGCTGCAAATGCTAAACCATGTAACATGACGTATATACAAGCAGCCATGCATGATGCCCATGTCAATCCAAACCTAAAGACCGCAGGTTTCTTTTTAGGTTAATCTTTTTTCTGAGCTGAAATGTTTCCCAGGACAAGGGGTTCATGACAGTAAAATGTGTCAGAGAAGCTCCTGTAGAGAACCACATCAAGAGGAAGATTTTATCTCGGCGGGCTGAGGGCTCGATTTTCTGATGACGGGGTTTTCACCAGAATGAGCACTTTCGCCGAAAAGGGTAACGATATCTTTAACGGATTGAAAGGGTGCACTTGTATCTATCTCCCCTACCTCCACTTTTGAAGACCCCGTAGAATTTCGGCGTCCCCTAGCAACCATATTTCATTTTCTTATAAAGCCTCAGACTAATCCAAGATCAACCTTTGCACTAAAACGCAACATTTTGAAATTCAGTTTCAGCTTGAGATTCATACACACGCTTAAGTTCTGACAAATCTGATAAACTCAATCTGCCTCAAGAACTGTAAACCAAACTGCAGAAAGTTCATAGTGTCCATTAGAAACCAGACACGCCCTTGTTCTGATTATGCCATGTTACCACTTAACATATCATAATCAAATGCATCATGATCACTCCATTCTGATTCAACTTCTAGAATTTTGATATCTATTCGATTCTTTCAGAAGATTTGACAAATATAACAAGTTACGTGACATTAACAGAACAAAATAAACTGAAACCATAAGAACATGTTAGCACACAAGACAAACGAAAGATGAAAAGGTTTCACCTTTTACTTGATCTGCTGAAACCCAACGGACAATGGCCGAGGGTAACCAAAATCGCTGCAACAGCACAGCATATGCCGTAAAAAAACAAAGATCAAACAGTCAAATTCAGGAAAGAACCACAACCTGAGACGGTTTTCTCACACTTTCACGCCGACGGAAATATCTCAGAACCAGAGGCGAAAAGTCTCGATTTGCTTACGATATTCGTCTTCTTCCCCGGAAATTTGACGCCCGTCGACCCCAAAGAGGAAACCCAGAAACGAAAAATCAAAGATCAGCAAGAAAATCTAAGAAAGAATACGGAGGAAAGTTTTCTCTCTCGGCAAGGAAAAAAAAGAGAAACAGACGAAAGCCTTTGCTCGGGAAATGGCTTCCCGGGTCTCGACCTAGAACAAAGACTAAATAAGGAATCGAGAAGAGAAAGATGAAGGAAAAAGGCTCCGAGCTTGGGCAGCAAAGCGAGTGGAGAAAGCGACGAAGTTGGATGCGTTTTTTGGAGGACAATTGGCAACTTCTGATTGGCCGTCGGTGAAATTCTTATTTTTCCCTTTTTTTTTGGGTAATGTGAACTGTGAAAGTGTCCGTCGGTGAAATTTTCGTGCCACTATGGACGGCGATTCGGTGATTATTCTATTTCCATAATATTTCGTCTTACGTGTCCATAAAATTTAATTTTTTCTAATCCAACGTTAAACTTTAGATGCAGCCTCACTTATATCCGAAGCCCGATCAGAGAGAGAGAGATGGGTACATGTATAGAAATCACAAGAAAAGAAAAAAAAAACACTAAAATATTTATGTTCCGTGAAAAATGCTACTATTTATAAACCAAAGTAAAATATCCAAAAATAGAATAAAACCATATCATATATATATAGAAAAATATATTAACGTTTAAAAAAACCCCGAGTGGCGTCATGAATTAATTCGCAGTGATAATGTCTCTACATGCAATTATCATTAGGGTCTGCGAAAAGATAAACCAGGTTTCAACATTGATTATTGCTCACTATTATAATTTTATGATTAGAATAATTAAATTGATTAGCCGCGTCGACAGGACTGAAACACATTGGCCTCTGGTGGAAAAAACCCGCATGAAAATCATTACATACAACAAATACAGACACAATCACAAGTCTGTTCTGTTTTGTTCTGTGTTCTTCCCAAACCCCGTGGCAATGGCAACATGATTTTTAACAGCACTTTAAAGAGACAACATCAGTGATTCTGCTTCAGCTCCCAGCATCTGGGAACTTATGTTGAAGAAGAGAAATAACAGAAAGAACATGCTTAAGAACAGTGGAAAGCATTTCAACCTCTTGCAATACCTTGTCAAGAATCCGCAGATGGAGATTGTATGCAGCAAAGCCATTTTTTCTGAAAAGACATCCAGTGTAGGGA